AGCCGCAGGGGTACCCAGAGATTCACAAAAAGGCCTCGCGACTCCGAGAAGGCTCCTAGTGCACCGAAGCGCATTACACAACAAATCACTTAACCGACAGAGAGCGGTGGCGGTTGTACCGCAGGTAGCTGAATATCTGAGCTGAGAAAATCTTCAGCTCGTTATGAGTGCCACATTGTGGTTGAATGCCGCCGGCAGGAGACGTCTGGACGGTTTTCATTGCCGGTGCCTCCGCGCGATCTGGGGGATCGCGCCAGCTTATATTTCAAGGGTGAGCAACGCAATTGTCTTGGACACGACGACCGGACAATCCATCTTACCAGAGACTGTAGCTCGACAGCAGCTCCTCTTGCTAGGAAAAGCCGCCAGGTCACCGGAAGGAAGCCCCTTAAAAGAGGTCACCTTCTGCCCCGGATCTTTCCGGCCAGCTTCGGACAGGTATGTGAAGGAAGTTGGCAGGCCGCGCGCGGACTGGACGTCCCAGGTGCTACGCGTCGCTTGCAAAGCGGCAGGCGGCATAGCCAATTTGATCCCACTCTTGACCAGCGAAGCTCCTTGGCGGCACTTTGTCCGCACAGCTAAGCTGTCAACATAGCGCAACGTAGCCCGACTGCATTATCTAATCTACAATTATTTAATATGCAATGCTTCCCATCCCGTGTCCTACGCACCTCCGGGTGTATGACTTCTTTGGTTGTGGTCGTTATGAGTGCCACTACCACAAGCCGATGACGCCGTACAAGCTCCCGCACATGTCCTAGGGCACGCAGACCCCGATGGCTTCGGACACTCAGGCTAAGCCTCCGAGATCCTGTTTCGGAAAACGTATCTACCAACCTCATTGGCAGCAAAACGCTGGAGTATCCTCTAGCACACGACAATAAATGGGCAAATGGAGCACACCCGACCAACCCACGACATCATCACAAGGCCCACACCACTTTTGGCTCTCCCCCGTCAACCCCTGGCAAGCGGCTCGTCCAGACCCCAACATCGCTCCGAAACCCACCGTGCATCTCGAAAACCCGCGGCGTGCGGTACAGCCAGCACTAGACGCAGCAGGGAGGTAATGCAGCCTACCTCTGCACGAGGGCTTCGGGCGCCACGTGGCATGACGCAGACGGGTCCTGAAGGAAACGGATCCTGGAGCCCAGACGTTTCCCCCGGGACGAGCTTTTCACTCTGAGGCCCTTTTTGACGATCTCGAGGTCCCTAGAAGGCCCCGGGAGCCCGAAACGGGCGAAAAAACTCAGGGACGGTTTCCCTAAGGACACGCTTGCGTCATTGCGACAACAGGGCGGGCAACACGGGATACTGGACCGCAGACCTGGAAGAAGCGACGCTGCGAGCCTGCGCCCCACGGCGGGATACTTCCTGAGAGACCAAGTCAAAAGGCAGGCACAAGAGAAAGCACTCGAAAGCTGCCGCTGGACAGGACCCGCATCACACAAGGGCGCAAGAAGACACGACAAAGAACTCGCGGCGTTCCGCGAAGAATAATTTGGCTCCGCTCCCACCGTTTGCAACCTTGAGAAATGCTGCAAACAAATTGTGTGCGGCTGGCTCATGCCGTGACGATGTGGGCATTCGCTCTTGCTGTCACCGCGTACACTGCTCGATCTTGGGCGATCTCCGCAGTCCGACAGCGCAGAACGCTCGAAATGGACCTTCAACCTTGAAAGCCCGCGCCGGCATCGCCACCACGACGACTCGACACGAACCTATCGTACGTGATTAGATGTTGGTCGGGCATGTCCTCCTACAGGCGGATGTTGGAAAACAACAATTAAACAATTAATAACCATAATAATAATAATAATAATAATATCAACAACAACAACAACAACAACAACAACAACAACAACAACAACAACAACAATTACTACAACAACAACAATAACAACAAACAAGAACAACAACAAACAAGAACAACAGTCACCAGCCTATGTTTTACTATTCTTGAACTTCCCTCATGTAGAGGGCATGCCCGACTTAAGATTAGATTGCTCTTCCTACGAGAATATCGAGAAGGATCTCATGACGAGATGGCCGAAGGATACCTTCAAGAAGCTCCAGTACCTGGCGGCCCCTTCGTCTCCGGAGCACGCGCGGAACAGCAGGAGTTAACCTGGAAATATCATAGCCTATCGCCATCATGACCAGGGCTCGAGCTAAACAGTGTTTTCCGTTGTCGTGGTGTGTTCGTTCTCCTGCGTTCTGCTTTCGTTCCGCCTCTGCTGCAAGACGCAATCAGACCGAAAACGGTCCACGAAATCGCCAAGATGCCGTTTGGCTCGAGCCCTGGTGATGACTCCTTGCTGCTCCGAAGCGGGAGGGAATGAAGAGCACAACAAATTGCATGAACACAAATTTTCGGAGGTCCGCGCGGATTTCGTGGGTCGGCGCTGGAGGCGCCGCCAGCAGGGTCCAACGCCGACCGAAGAGATCCGCACCAACCTTCCAGGAAAGCTTGAGCCTGTTCAGCCTGTCTTTCTTCGACCACCCAGCCGTAAGAAGTTGGCAGAGACGTGAGGCAGGAAGGCGTTGAAAGTAGAGTGGGTCCCCACGCACCCCCTGAAGAGGAAGGACGAAGGAGAACCGTTCGACACGTAGAATAGGAAGGCGCCTGAAGAAGACTGCAACGAACCCAAACCTACCGAACTACGGTCAACGACCGATAGGCACTTGTGGGGCAGGAGAGCCCAACATCGAATCGACAAGTCGGATCGGAGATCGACATGGGATGGGACCGGCGGACAGCGGCGGCCAGTAAGTCGGGAGAAGTCGAATCGACAGAAGTCGGCAGGCGAGTAAGGCCTCCACTGAGACTTCGGAATCCAGATCGGAAGCCGGAGCCGAACCGCATCGGAACACCGACGGCCATCGCAAAAATCGAAGGGCAACGACGCGGAGGCGTCGACACGAGCCCTGCAGGTCTCCACTGAGACTTCGGAATCCGAATCGGAAGCCGGAGCCGAACCGCATCGGAGCACCGACGGCCATCGCAAAAATCGAAGGGCAACGACGCGGAGGCGTCGACACGCGAGCCCTGCAGGGCGGTCGGCCACCGCCCCATGCCTGGGCCAGGCCCCCCCCCTGGGGCCAGCAGCGGCGCACACCGCGCCCCAGGCCCCCCCTTGGCTGGGGGCCGCCGAGCCTGGGCCCACGATGGGCCTGGCCGTGGGGCGACGAAAGATCTGTGCTCGGGTCGGGCGTGCCCTCCCACGGGCGGATTCTGGACGGAAAGCTAAAATAGGCAAGAAAGCATCAAAAGCAAATCCCAGAAATCCTTTCACGAAACTCGTCACCTGAGCATCTTGGGATTATTTTTGACTGTGAACATTCCTGCTGTAGGGGGGCACGCCCGACTTGAATCTTACGCGTCCACCGCTCCCCGGCCAGGCGCGCCGCCTCAGAGCCTCCCGCGGGGTGCACGCCGGGCGCCCTCCTGGCCTGGCCGTGGGGGGGGGGCGTGTATGCAAAGCCCCACGGGTTCAGGGTGGGCCTGGCCTCAGGTCGGGCATGTGCCCCTCCTGGCCCGGCCGTGGGGGGGGGGCGTGTATGCAAAGCCCCACGGGTTCAGGGTGGGCCTGGCCTCAGGTCGGGCATGTGCCCCTGCAGGCGACCTTGGGCCAAAAATCGAAAAATAGTCCAGAAGTATGAAGAACTACTCCAAAAGTCGTCCCCCGACTATCTTTGAACATGTTCCTCCTGTAGAGGGACAAGCCCGACTTGAGCCTGGCCAGGGAGCGGCGGCGGATGTGTACAGATTTCGTCGCCCGATGGCCAGGGGCCGTGGACTTTGCCAGTCGGCAGGCGCAAGGGTGCGGAAGCGGTCAGGCGCCGGTCGGGCTACAGGCGTGACGCGCCGGCAACGAATTGAAGCCAGGCGGGAGCAGGGAGGGCCGCTTACTCAACGCCACTTCGCGGGGTCTGGGTGGCTTTTCCTCCCTTGAAGAAGGAAGAGAAGAGAGAGGGCACAGGGCGGGGGCCACTCAGAACATGCAGCTCGAACGGGGGAGGGGCAGGTGCCGTGGTTAACAGGCGGAGAACGGTGTAAAATAAACTTTTTCGTCGCCAGGGGCGCCTGCCCCTGGGCGGCTGGAAAATTTGTAACCTTATGTTGCCACCGTACGGGCATAAACTCTCCAGCCGCCCTGGGGCAGGCGCCCCCGACAGCGGCAAAGTTGATTCTATACCGTTCTTCGCCCGACAACGTGAGCACGTCCAGACAGGACGGCCCGGAACCCTATCGGCAAAACGGATCGGCCATCGAAGTGCATCGAATCGGTAGAGAATCGGCAGGCAGGCACCCAAATCGGCGCCCGGCGGCCCGAGCCGAGGCATGCACGTGGAAGTCCAGACTGGTGGATGCCAGGGCAACGGACACCCCAACAGTCCTATCATCGAATTAGAAAATGTGTTCAAAATGTCGGGAGAATATCCTGGAAATGTTTAAAACGTGCTTGTCACATCCTTAAAGCATGTTTAACACATGTTTTAGACATCTGGAAACTATTTGACAACACGCTTCCTCTCCATTGATCGCCCTCCAAAAGTCCAGACCGAAGTCGGAATCCAGGGCCGAATCGAATCGAGATCGGAATCCTCGAAATCGGGCCGATTCGAATCGACGGAATCGAAACGGACCCCGTGCAAAGCTCGCCGCCCGAGACTTCCCCCTTCGCGCACGGCCGACGTCCACCACCAGCCGGTCCCGCGGCCCGAGGGCGGGGCGCACAGCCGACGGCGTGGAACCGCGCCACCTCCTCCGCCAGCTGCCGGGCCCAAGCCCCAGCCTCGCAGACTCCCGGGAGGATCCCCCAGCCGAGGCAGCACCGCGTGCCCCCCCGGACCCAGGCGGCGCAAGAGGAATCGTGACGGCCCGCTTTCGAATGGCTTCGGTATCCAGGGGGGCCGTTTTCCAGCCCCTGGACTGTCATAACACGACTCAGGATAAGAAAGGAGTCGGGGTTCCCCGGGAGCGACGTGTCACGAATAACTTGCGTCGTCGGAGGAGATGGTCCGCAATTGTATCAAAAATTGGGAGTTGTGGAAATTACGTGTTGGAAAATCGCAGGGCTGGAACTTGTCAAGGGCACACTGCGCACGACTCTGCAAGCATGACCGACAGCATTGATAAGCAATGCGGATTATCAAGTCCTGCAGTCAAATACTACGAGTACAACCCATATGGTAAGAGAGAGGTGCGGTGTATAAGTGTGTACATACATATCTCTACACAGGTGCCGATACTTGTACATAGTAGAAGCATAAACAAACACACACACACACACACACACACACACGCACATACACACACACACACACACACACACGCACACGCACACACACACATACACACACACACTGACATGCACAAATAAATGTACGCATACCTATACACCTACGCATACAGACATATCAACACCTATGTTCAAATATGTCTGTGACCATTCACATGCACATACCTGTACATATATATATATGTATATATATGGTATATAGCAATGTATAGATGTGCGTCCGTATATGTACATACGTGGGGCTGTCTAAACATGTACCTATCAACATGCGTAAGTAATTTCCAGCGCGGAGCAAAGGGCGGGTCAAAAGGAGCAAAGAAAAGCAAGGACAAGTCCACGGCGCCTCGGCCTAATTGGTACTGCCTTTTGTTTTAGCCGTTAGAGCTGGAGAGACGAAGCTCTATGACGCCTAGGAGGGCCAGGCGTTTCACCATCGATTTCACTTCACCCTTACTTTCGGCATGTACGAAGCCACCCTCCAGTTCCCAACGCTTCACCAGATCATTACCATAATGAAGGAACGGGAGCTCGCGATAGTCGCCTTGCAAGAGACAGACACAAACATCAGCGCTGCGCCATTCTTCACGTACGAGGGCTGCCTGCTGATACTTTCAGGCGGCCCCGAAAATACACAGGAGTATGCTGGGGTGGGATTCGTTGTGGCGCCGTGGGCTAGGCACGCTGTAATGATTTTCATACAATACAACAGTCGACTGGCCAGCCTCCGAATCAGAGCTCCTGAAGGGTGGGTGTCGTTAATTTGTGCATATGCTCCACATTCGGGTCTTCACTTCGAAGTCCGTCACGCATTCTTCGGTGACTTGTCTCTGCTGACAGAGATAACGAAAGCGCACGGGCCGGTCTTCGCGATGGGGGACTTCGATGCTCGATTTGGCCACCCAAATTTCTGCGATGCGGAGGTCGTGGGCCCATTCGCCTGGGGCGGCCACGGCGCCTGCCTGGGGCCGTTGGACAACCAACATATGCATCTCTGACCCTTCTCCAGCGGCCCAGAGACCCACTCCAGAGGGTTGGTTAGATCCTTCGCTGGGGATCTCTTGGAACCTTCTCTTTTTGACATGCGCCAGGCGAGCAGAGCGAAAAGGTTCCTTCCGAAGGGATGCTCGGTCTACGAGTACACCTGAGGATTCAACAAAGGCTTTGGCAATCACAGCCCACACAAACACAGGGAGGGAAGGTAGGGAGACTTGAGCGAAATAGTTACAGACAGGCAAGCTGACAGTGGCGGGCCTCAACGAAGCAAGAGATATAACAATCAAAGATTAAAAACATCTCTGACCCTTCTCCAGCGGCCCAGAGACCCACTCCAGAGGGTTGGTTAGATCCTTCGCTGGGGATCTCTTGGAACCTTCTCTTTTTGACATGCGCCAGGCGAGCAGAGCGAAAAGGTTCCTTCCGAAGGGATACTCGGTCTACGAGTACACCTGAGGATTCAACAAAGGATTTGGCAATCACAGCCCATACTGTGATCCATTACTGGAGGGCCTCCTGAAAACACTGAAAGATGGAGGCCTCCGCAGCTGTGGCTCGCCTCGCGAGCTCAGAAGGAAGACGGGCGGCCTGGAGAAGAAGGCGCCCGCTCTTTTCGTATCGTTTCACTGACTTGGCGTGGGCCCAGCGCCCTCGCTTCTGAACAACTGCTAGACTGCGTGCGCGTACCAGCACGTCGTGACTGGGCGCTGAGTGACGGGCCACGTGGGGGGTGAGGTGCCCTATTTTGCCGAGGATAGAGCGACTATATTTCCTAAAAAGTGCTTCATACTTGGCCAGAGACAGGTGCGGGAAGACTAGCTGATCAGAAGAGGTGTCAGACTTATGGCGCCTAGCCCACAACTGAAGCACGGAGCCCACCCACTCACGGCCGACAGAGTCGAGAACTATAGTGTCATCGCTCTCACCAGTCTTTGTGGTCTCACCGAGGTCTGAGTTACCGATGACAACAGCCCACTTGTTTCTTGACAATGAAGATGAGAGCTTCGCGGGCTGAACCACGGAGCACCACCGCAGTTCGCATATCTCAGAAGGTCTCAGGTAGGCGTCTAGTTGGATGGCCAGGGCCACGGCAGCCTCGGTATGATTGTCCTTCAGGAAGACACTCATGAACAAATAGAAGACTGAGAGCGGCCACGGATGTCGCGAGGAGCCAGGGAACCTGCGGACCCAGCCCTTCATCGCCTCACGAGCCATCGTGAGGCGGGCGGACTTGGCGATGTCCGGCCGTGGGAAGAAAGTCAGATACCCCCAGAGTGTGTACCGTCCCTCAGCGGCATGTCGAGCATCGCTCATGAGAACATCGAAGTACTTGCACATTTTCTGATCGATAACGGACTCTGGGGCTTGTCTGAGGTCCTCCGAGCGCGTCGCCCAGTCGAAAAAATCACGAACGGCAGTCCCATATCGCTCCAGCGACGTCGAGGTGATCGAGCCGAAACGGGCAACACCTCCATCCACAGGGACTGGCGCCGCTGGCCCGAAGCTCAGGTTGCGGCCCTTGATCGCCTCCACGAAACTAGAGACGCGGGAGCGGCGGCCAGCGACCTTTCGGGCCTTTCCTCGAGCAGGCTGCCTGCGTCCTTGCTGCTTCCAGGTTGGAGTCCTGACCGAAGATGATGAAAGGCCGCAGGTGGTCAAACCTGCTCTCGAGGACGGCTGAGTCGATGGCGCCAGCGAGCCCGAGGTCAGGCTCCGCTTGAAGCCGCTGCCGAGCTGGTCGGAGGCGCTCCCGGGCGCGCGAAGCCGGCCGCCGCGCAGCATCGCGAAGCCGGGCCTCCAGGCCCCCGCCGTCAGGCGGGCCTGAGCCGCCTCGGGCCCGCGCAGGCGCTGACATGCCCGCGGCCAGGGCCCATGCCTGGCAAAGACTGCGGAGGTAGGCTCCAGCACCTGCCGTACGATTGCGAGAAACACGAGCCCCAGATGGCAACGTCACGGTCTCGAAACCCCTGAGCTCAACATGTGAGTGATCTCTGGAGCACACCGAAGCTAAAGAACTCAGGGCTGAAAGGTTAGTGAGAATCGCTGTCGGCTTCATGTGGGAGGCACCGTAACTACAGTGTACCAAACACACGCGAACAACGTCAGGAAGGTCAGTGAGCTCTCGAACGGGATCGAAGTCCCAAAGTCTGGAAGATCTCGGATTCTCAATGCTCCAGAAGACGCCGTTCCGCGAACACTCATAAGCAACACGACAGCTGAACAACGCTAGAGCTACACCCACACGCTCCCTGCACGCGGCTTTCTCATAGTTGGCGATGCCGTGACGAGCCCGAGACCACACACAACAAGGTGTCCCAAGATGTACATACCAGAAGCGCCCCTTTCGAATGTCCTCTAAGATGATGTTCTGGACCTTCGGGTCCAGGAGGTCATAGTGAGCCCCATCTTTGATGTCCATGCAGGGGTAGGTAGACAGGCCGAGCTCCTCGAACGCCTTGGAGAGCCCACCCTCGCCCGAGAACAGCTCCAAGAAACCCTGGCCCTGTTGGGCCCGTCTCCGAAGTTGAGCGCGCCCAAGACGTAGAGGGGGACAGGCGGTCCGACTGGCCACCGAAGGTGTCGAAGTAGAAGGCCGCAGCTCGCCGGCACTGCGCGTTCAAAGCTGCTGAGCGGCTGGACCGCCCCTTGTCCAGGCAGCCAACACATACCATGGAGTCCACGAGAGAAACTAGGCGGCGTCCGCAATTCTGGCGAACGCAACAGGCATGCCGCAGCCCCATGACTGCAGCACGGGTCTCCTTCACATTGATGTGCTCTCCAGGCCAGCGCCAGCGCCTTGCTGCCACCAGCTTGAAGCCCTCCGAGTCGAACCAGGAGGCGGGCAGCGGCGGCGCCAGGGGGCCAACCTGACCGAGGCACTCGGCGTCGGGATCGTCAGGGTCGGCTGGGCGCCGTCGCAGACGGCGAGGGCGAGGCCGATGAGGCCCGTCGAGGGCAGAGCCCTCCTCGGCCTTGCCCTGCAGCCACTGGCCGAAGGCCGCGGCAGGGGCGGAGCCCGCGTTCGGCTCGGAGGAGCGGCAACGGGGCTCCACCTCGTGATCCAGCTGCGTTTCGTCTGCTTCTCTGTAGCCGCCCATCTCAGCGACATCGGTGGCCGAAGTCAGACCAACGCGGGGGCCTCGGAGGTGCTGCCTGAAGCTCCACTTCTCCTTCCAGCGGAAGGCCGACTGCATCTCCTCGACCGTTGCCTTCTTGTACATCAGGCCGTACCCGTTGTCGGCGGAGTCGCTGGCGTAGACGCGCGGCACGCAGGGCGCCGCCAGGTCGACCTCAGCGAGCCAGACCAGCCCAGCGACCAACCTCATCTCGTGCATGACCTCGCGCGGCAGAGCGGTCCGAACGCCCCGAGCGGTCTCGGCGAACCGGCACGTGGCTGAAAGCGCGGCGTACCCGGGCCTGGCCAGCATCAGGAGCGACACAGCGTGGCCCAGCCAGACCTCCACGTGCTCTCCTCGCATCTTGCCACGACGCAGGAGAGC